TGAGCTGCCTCCCTCACTCCCTTTGCCACTCACATAGCAGAATATCGACTGTTGGTGGGAAGAGGATGCTACGGAGCAACCTGTGATGGTGGCATGGAGAGCATCTTAGGAAGCTGTGCGGTTCATGGTGCTCCTTTGTCCATGCAATGAGTCACTCTGGGGCCACGTGTTTCCTTGGCTGGATCACTCCATGCTGCTGATGCCACAAGTTGTGAGTACACCTGGACTGATTAATTATTAATTGATGGGGGCTTATGAATTTTTCAGTGTTTTCTTTCATTGAGTGCCACGAAGCGAAACCACCTTTTTTGAGACAAAGATCTCTTCTAAAGCCCTACATCAAAGCTACAGAATTGTCACCCATATTGTGATCTTGTTCAGCTTTCACATGCAGCATGTTTGCTTTGAAATACTTAATCGACCATTTGCTGAGCTACAGAATTCCCAGCATGTCAAAGGGTGTGCGCCTTGAAGCTTTCTCTTTGAGGCTTTGACACCTATAACCGTGCATGACACAGGTCTTTGGCTGTGTTAATTATTCCTCAGCCAAACTTAGGAAGGACATGAAGTGGATCACAGCTTTTGTCCTTGTCCTTCACCTAAGGAAAATAATTCCTGAAGTGGGATTTTCCTTTTGCTGGGAAGCAGGGATCAGCATTAGCAAGGACTGGCAGGAAGGGATTAAGCTGTTGAATGGTCCCAGTGGTGTCTGGCTGGGGCTGATGGCAGTTGTACCAACAATACCTGTCATGTCTGCAGCGCGTGGTGTAAATGCCAGGCTGATCATTGAAGGTTGTATCTCTATGTTGCATCCTGTCATTATAAATCCTTGCAGCTTAGAACAATGTTGTTACATTACAAACCCTTGTAGCTTTTAACAACATCATTTCCAACAGTGCTGAGCTCAGAGCGTGGGTATAGATCCCCTGTCCTGTTTCACTCACCTTGTCTGTTGGGAGCATGCCCCTTCAATGTGTTTGGTGGCACAGCCAGATCCACTTCTCTTATCAACCATCTAAATGCTGTGTATGGAGCATCACATGTGCCACCAGCATCATCCCCAGGCTGGGCAGGTAACCCTGGCTCAGCCCTCTTGCTGTGACCAGTAGTATGAGGGCTGTACCCTGCTTGGTCCCCATGCAGGTGGGGTGGTCTGAGGCGTTAATCTAAGCAACACTGCTTTGGGCATGATGAAGGAGGAAAGATTAGAGCAGCCTGTGCCACCCCAGCATCATAGATGGAGCCAGGGCTCCAAATCAGGGGGGTTTGTAAAGGGTTTAGCTTAAAGCTGTGGTAAACTGAAGCTGGAGCTTTAAATATATAACACTGACTCCAAAATCACAGGAATTTGAAGTCTGCCTTAGCACTGTTCATGTCCTTGAACTGCCTCTGGTGTTTCCCAGGGTGAGTGGAGGTGAGCCTGGGCTCCTGACCTTAAAATGTACAAAGCTTAGGTTGGGTGGTACATGGGAGGTCTCTGACACCAAACAAACAGGTTAGGTGTGGATTTGGTAGGTGCCTGTGTGTCTTGTTGCAGATCTTACGGCTTAATTAGGTTGTTTTGTTTGCCTCTGCTTCTGCCTTTCACAGGCATAGAGGGATTATCTATCCCCCTTGGATAACGTAGAATCACAGAACGGTTTAGGTTGGAAAGGACCTTAAGATCATCTAGTTCCAACCTCGCTCCCGTGGGCAGGGACACCTCACACTAGACCATGTTACCCAGGACTCTGTGGGAAAACTCTCAGAGTGAATCTGTTTCAGAGTCATGGAAGCAACAGGTAACTTCTGCAGACCAGTGGCTGGTTCATACTGGCCATTCAAACTGTCAGATGAACATTTTTAAACTCTTCTTTCACTTAAAAGTTATTCCTTCTTAGCAGGTGATATGTAAAAGTCCCTGTCTTCTGCAAAATGTGTTTTCCTTGCAGTTTGAATGGTCGCCATGGGTTAAAGTGATCACATGCCCTGCAGTGCTGACTAAATCTGGGTTCTGCTCAGAATCTGATCTACTCTCTTTATTTTTATTCTTATACTTTAGCAACTGTTCCACCAACACAGATAATCTCTGCAGGGCAGGCAGAGAGAACTAATGTTGTATGCCGGTAGACGTATGAAAACATCTAATTTACCAGCAGGCAGCTGGGTAATGATCAGTTGAGAATTACAAATTATCTACGTCATATATTTGTGGCGTGCTGTTGAAGAAAAACCCAGTGTGTCTGACAAATCATATCCTGAAATTTATAATACTTTTCACATCTAATTGACTGGGGCAACCTTATGATTTACATCTTTGCTTTTTTTTCTCATAGCACACCCAGAACATAGTCATAATGCAGAATGAAACTAATTCAATTTCTCTTTGACTTTGTAAATCATTTATGTACTTGGCTGTTACATATTTGAATGTTAAAGTGGGCTTGCATATGGCAGAAAATAAATAGCTGATTCTCTAGTTAAGAAATTGAGCTTTAATGATATTAGAGCCTGTGTTGCCTTATTTGGATGTTTTGTCTCGCATGCCTTACATTTGTCCCTTGCCTTGTGTCACGAGCTGAGTATATTTTATGGGCCCCAGCATTGCTCTTGATGTCCCTATATAGTGCTATGACTGTGTACAACGTACTCTGTTTTGACGACAGCAGGAGCCCTTCCCAGGCTTGGGAGCAGGAAGTGGCTGAGCTGTTGGGCTGCAGTTCTTAGTCACAAGAGGTCTGGATGAAGGTGCCAGAAGGACACACAGGCAGGGGCTGCCTCATTAGCACCATTCCGTAGCTGACAAGAAGAAAAAGTTATGTTGGCTACAACAGACCGTGACTGCTTTCTGAAAGATCAGGTTTTGGAGCTGTCATGAAGAGTCATTGAAAATACAACCTGGAAAGATGTTTTGTTTCTTTTAAATACCAGGTTACCCAGCTTGGCACCACTAATAAATCTTGGGAAGCGCAGCCCTGGAAAGCAATCCCTTACCCACTCAACCACAACCAAGGAGGCTGCCTAGGGTGCATGTTGCCTCCCAAGAAGAATAACCTTCTGCAGCCAGATCTTCCCTTGACGTGGTTTTTGACCTGTAGCATCACTGGGAAACATCTGCAAGATCCAGATAGCGCAGAAGGGATGAGGCAGTTTGCTGGCTCATTATCACACCACAAAACCAGCTCTCCTCCACAGCAGCATCCTTGGTTTCTAAATTTAGCACGTGAATTATTTTGGGTAGTGTGTGATTAACCTCAATTACTGTAGCTCAGATGGAATTCAAATAATGCCCCTTCTTTCAGAGTCATAAAGAAATGGAAATCTGGGACTGTACCTTTCCTACACTTAATGAAGCGGCTCTGAGAGTTGCTTGCACACGGGTGGTTGTGTGATGCATTTGTTCATGGAAAAATTAACGGGAGCAGCTCATCCCAAAAGGTGCTGGTGGTCCATGGCTCTGTATTGGGTTTGGGATCAGGAATATAAAGATGAAGGCAGCAGGCTATATGGTGTGAATGAAACCTGGGTGGCCGCAGCAGAGATCCCTGAAGCTTCAGTGAACTGGGTCACGGTCAGGACACTGTGTAGTTTTCCTGCTTGAATTAAATCAATAACAGAGACTTTCAGAAACTAATCAGAAATCTGCTTTCCCTCAATCTCAGCTTTAATGAATGTCGGCTCTCTGGAATATCATCACTGGTGAAGCAGTATGCAGATACACACCTGCACGTGTGCAGAGCTGCAAGAGGATGTGTGAGAGAGATGCAGGGAGAGCAGGCAGACAATCAAGGAGATGCAGTAGAAAGCGATGGTCCTGGCATGTTTCAGTCCATCCAGGGAGCACTGACACAAGCTTATTGCTCATCAGGCTGAGCATTGAGACTTTTGCCATAGCTGTAACTTTCCAGGCTGCACTGCACCAGCTGAGCCTTTCGTCTGTCAAGCAGTTTGTCTCCAGAGGAGGATAAAACCCAGGGAGGTGGTTAGCACAACCCCACGCCAGCAAATAAAGCTCATTTATGTGCAGCAGTCAGTGGGAGAGCTGACCTGTGGTGACTTGTGACAGTTGCGTTTGCTGGTAGCCAGAAGGGGCTGGTACTTTGAAAACAAAGGTGGTATTTGGATGGGAGACTGAGCCCTCCCACCTGAAGTCACGTTTGCTGGAGGAGGTGAACCAAAACTGTGATGTTTTGCTTGGTTTTGTGCCTCATGGATGGAGCAGTGCTGTGACCACCCCAATACTGCAAATTTTTAGCCATGGCCAAAATGACTCCAAAAGAGACTAAAGAGTGCTTAGAGTCTGGAAAGGAACTGTAGAATTGCCACCTCATTACAGCAGCTATCAGCTTCTTCTGGGGCTAGTTTGCTGTTGTGCTTTTTTTGTTGTTCTGTAATTTATGCCTGTGTGTTCCTACTAAGAAATAACAAACCTGCCCCATGTCCTACCGATGGGAATCTGTTTCCAGCAGTCACCATGCCTCTTCCATGTGTGCTGTGATTGCTTGCTTAATGGGCAGAAACAGCATTTTACCTTCAGAAGACATTTCAGGGCCACACAGATGCTGAACACTGAACCACAGGGTTCATTTCTTTGTCTGGGTGGCAAGCAGGGGTAGAGGGTGTTTGGTTTGATGATCTGGAGCTGCCATGCCCTGCTCCAGAACAGGGGGGATATGGCTTCCCAACCACCAGCAAAGTGGTAGCTTCTGGAGGGCACTAAGGGGTTCAAATAGTCCCCATCAAGGCTTGCTGCCAGCCTGGCTCACAGGGCAAAGTGGGGTGAGGATGCTCAGCCCCAGGAGGCAACTGGGCAGGCATCAAAACAGGGTTCTCACAGTCCCCTGGTCATCTCTGCCTTTGGATGGTGAACATTGTGTGCGTCCTTTGTGAGGGCTCTGCTCCCTTTATGCTATACTTCATTGGTAACGTGAAAGAGGTGGTCAGCCTGAAGAGCTGAGCTGCTTGTAAAGGTGCTGCATTGGTTAATTTTTCACCTTGATTTGCCTTTTGTTTTCATACAGCTGGACAACCCAGATGAGCAAGCAGCACAGATCAGACGCGAGTTAGATGGACGTCTCCAAATGGCAGAGCAAATTGCCAAGGTAAAAATCCCCAACGTCTTCTGTATTAATAAGCTCTTCTTATAGAAACACATAAGTAGTTTGATGCAACCCCCAGGTCTTGTCCTTTTTTCACAGGTTTCTTCTCCCAGTAACCACCAGTTAAAAATTAGCAGATCATAGAATCTCATGATCATGATTACAAACTGAACAAAACAGCAAGCATAGGTGAATGTGATATGCATTTCTTAGAACGTCCTGATGAGCTGAGATATTTTAGGTTCCTGCAAAATCCCTTACAAATCCTCAACAGTGGAGAAGATACTGTTCTGAAGTGCTGCAGCTAGGTCTGCAAGTGCATGTCTGAGCCCTCTTTGTCAAACTTTGATGCTAGGCAGTGAGGTGGGTGATGGAATGTAGAAAGGAGCCAGGAATTGCCTTAACAGTGTTTGTGCCATTTTCTGTGCTGCTGGGAGCCACACTTCCCTGCCTGTAGGTAGATGCTGCCTCAGTTTTATATGGCCTCTGATGGACTATAGATGAAGAGAAACCTTGGATTCTGTTGGCATCAGTATGGCTGAGATCTTATTCTCACCTCTAATCAGATGCTCTGAGTCACCAATAAAGCCCTAATGGGGCTGAAGTCACTGGGAAATATCTATCTGGTTGTTCTTGATAATCGGGAAACCATTTCTAGAAGGAAAAGGGTCTAATCAGAGAGATATAGCTCAAGCTAAGGACCTGCTTTTCCGCAGCAGTCCTCCTGGCACCGAGCTGTGCCCAGACTGGGGGATTTTATGACGAAGGTAGTATCGGAGCTGTTTGCAACCACACTGATGCCCCTGGGTGTGAAAAGCAGAGCACATTCATTCATGGTCAGGTGTTAACAAGGATGCTGGTAGCATCTGTGCAGTTACTCATCACTAATGCTTCTGTGATCTTACTGCTGCTGTGTCTTTGGGGAGGTGGGTTCTGGTTTTCCCCATTTCACTGATGAAGATAGTAAGTCGGCCAAGGTCCACGTGGCCAAACGGTCGTGCAGCAAACCAACTGCAGCTCCTTTGTTCAGCATTTGGCCCTTTGCCATTACATTATCAAGAAAACCTACAATATGTAGGTTGTCAAGAAACCCTGCAGTATGTGCAGCAAACATAAGCCCGTGTGGATCATGGCTGCTCTGGTTCCGAGATGGGTAGCCAGGCATTGAGTGCCAGAATGAGATTGCCTGGTTTTGTTGTTTCATTTTCTCTTTATGGCATGTGGGACAACAATATGCATGGTTCAGTGGCAGCCAGCAGAGGCTGCGGCTCCATGAATTATTTCTTGCAAACAGGAATGTGCCATTTTCATTCCTCCCCCAAGGACGCTGAAAACAAACTGTGCCACTGCTGGCCCTGCAAGAGACAGTCAGGGCAAAGAACTCAACACAACCTGGCATTTCCCTGTGCATAATTCAACCTTCAGTATACAGCTTGGAGGGTGGTTTAGAGTAAAAGTGACTTACCTGCATTCCACTTGGCAGGTATTGATATTTAATCTCCTTCATGTTACTGCTGCAGGCCTTCTCTCCAGAATGCCATATCCTGCCAGCACATGCCTACAAGAAACCTTGTTCTTTCAAACCAGTGTATATCATCTTTTGGAGGCATCCAAATGATCTTTTGAATCCTTCTCTATATCCTCCTTTCTGGGCAAGGCTGCTTTCCCTGCATAGGGCAGGTTCACAACTCAGCTCAGTGGAAGGATAATGTTTCCAATTTTATTTCCAGTTTGTAGCTTTTAATGCAGATTTGCTGCACAGGGAGACTTACAGTGCTTGTGACACCAGCCCTGAGGTGGCCGTGCTGAGATTGCATGCTAAAGGCAAATTAATGCGTCGTTAATAAATTAAGAAATTCCCACCAGGACATTTGTATTTCAGAGGCAATGAAGGCTGTGGAGAGTCTAACAGGACCTGGGATTGCAGTGGTGCAGAACCAGTGGCTCTCTGCTGTGATCTCTCGTGTGACCTTGCACAAGATACTGTGCACACCAGCTTGTCTGCATCTGGACACCAGGGTCCTTTTACCTCCTGGTGTGCTCAGGACTGTGTAGCTCAGCACAGTACCAGTGCAGCGCTGGGCAGGGTCCCCCAGTGAACCTGACTCTGTCAAAGCAGATAAGCCCAGCCTTGGAGCCAGCCAGCCAGCCTGAGGACCGTGCTCGAAGTCCAGCAGATGTTTTAGAGCTGAATCTGGACAGGCTTTTCACTCTGTGTGCTGTACTTTTCCAGCAGCTGAATGAGAGCAGCCTTACAGCTGAGAGCTTAGTGATGCCAAGGCAGAGGTCTGTTCTCTGCAGTACCAACTGCTCTGCTGTCCTGTGATGCCTTAACCCCCTCCAGTCGCCTGGCCTCAAGGGCAAGAAAGAGCAGGTACAGGCAACTAAATGAGACCTTGAGGACACCAGAGCAATATGTCCATCTGGGGCAGGACCCACTCTGCAGTCTTTTAACTCTGCTTCTCCAGTCTGATGGGTACCTTGGGACCACACCTGCATCTCTGCGTTTCCATCATCAGACCCAGTCCCAGTTAGTTACATGTCACTTCAAACTACCTGGGTTTAGCCTTTGTATGAGAAGTTGCTGGTGGCACACAGTGAAATGTCTTGGTCCTTGCTTCATGTCTGAAGAGTTTTGTGGGGACAGCACCAAAATCACAGACCCTGGAGAGATGAATAGCAACAGGGTGAAAAAGCCATAGTGTTTGAACATTGCTGCTTCAGCAGTAGTTCTTAAAATCTTCCAAACATTTGTTTGTGGGGTTTTTCTTTCCTAAGGGTGCCTTGCAATTTATATAATGCATAGACAATGAAGTAGGCTGATTAGGTAGTTTATCTCGATGCCAGGTCCCATTTACATGAGGGAATTGCTTCCCAAGGTTGAGACTGGGAACAAAAGACTGTATTTTAACTGCTTGCTGCAAGTGCTGCTGTGAGCTGTGCTTGTAACAGGTAAGCTATTGAAGACCGATGCAAAAACTAGTGCAGTGGGGTACTTTTTCAGCAGCCGGATGACAGTCTTCTAGAAGAAACATGACCTTGTTTTCTTCTCTAGCCTGCATTTTACAAGCTGCTTTTTACAATATTATGAATTGCCACTAAGTTACTTTGACGTCAGCCTCAAGCTCCCTGGCTGCAGATGCTGCCTCACTGTCATACTCCTTGTACAGTCTCTTGTAACCCACTGAGAGATGTTCGAACCCTGAGCATATTCAGGGTATGAGCAGAGCTGTAAGACGACTTAGGCTGAGACCAGTGATCTTGTCAGAGCTGGAGCATGGGCAGCAGTTGAAAGCTGAGAACGTGATGGAGAACATCACGTTTTGCTCTCACTGTTACCTTCGGGTTTAATGTTTAAACGTCCTGTTTACAACAAGCAGCATTGGAGGGTCTCACAGTGGAAGGGTGTCTTGTTTGGAGGTAGACACAGGCACTGGCAAGTAGTGGAAACGGTGTTTTACCCCTTCCTCCAGCTGGGACTACACATTCCTGCCCACACATTGCTGATTTTCCCTCCTTGGGTTCCTTTCACACCTAGAAAACTAATGGAGCAACTGCTCAGAAGTGTTTTAAAAAGAGCTGGCACATTTGGGAGACTGGAAAACAAGTCCATAACTGTCAGCATCCTTTGAATCATTAGTAAATTGCTGTCAATCACAAAGTTCAGCTGAGATCTGGCCTGGAGTGTTTATGATTGTGAATAGATATATATGAAGGCCATTTGAAGATAGAAAAATCAATGAAATGCAAGTACATGCAAGAAACAGTAAAGTTGGATAAGTACCAAGTATTAATTCTACAGAAAGCTAACAATAATACTTCTACATTACACAGGGGGAAGCTGTAATTTGTCATCTGGTTTGTGGGAGTTCCCTGCTCACAAACCTCCCTGGAGATGCTCCTGGGGGATTCTCCCAGTGCAACAAGTAGTTGCTGATTGTCACGACCATTCATTCTGTCGGTTTTGTTTCCAAATTCAAGGAGCGAAAGTTCCCGAAGTTTGTGTCCAAAGAGATGGAAAACATGTACATCGAGGAGCTGAAGTCGTCTGTCAACCTCCTGATGGCAAACCTGGAGAGCATGCCTGTGTCCAAAGGAGGCTCTGACTTCAAGCTGCAGAAGCTGAAACGTAGTCACAACACCTCTATAATTGACATGGGGGAAGAAAACGAGAACCAGCTTTCCAAGTCAGACGTCGTGTTGTCGTTCTCTCTGGAGGTGAGCGTCAGGCACAGGATAGTGTGCAGGTTGTGGGAGCAAAAATCACAGCAGCCACTTTCTGCTCAGTTCAAACTTAGGTGGAAAGAGGTCAGTAGAATTAACTTTCTGATCTCTAGGAGGAATGGTTTCTCTCTGAGTTACCAGAAGTTTGGCCTGTGGTCAAACACTCTGGCCTTTCTGGTGTCTATCTTGTTGGAACAAGCTGTGTGAGATAAACTGTCT